AGATATTTTATATCTTTTCGATTGAAATCGAATATTATTTCCATGTGCTAAATGCTATGATTAAAGGCGGACCTCCATAGCAAGCACATGCGTGCGTCTGCGTCAAACATTCTCATGCGTAGTAGTTTAGGTGAAGTGAGCACCTCCATAGCGGTCGTTTTAATGCATGACACTTGATATAATTTGATATTTTGTGACACTTTTTTATTTTAACAAAAGTTTTATTATTGTGTATTAAAATGGATGACGATTTCGATTTCATCCTTCCAATAATTGGAAGTGTTATTTCAGTATATGTGGCGTATACCCATATACTGAAAATAAGAAAAATGTGGTCGGATGTCCTTTTTTTAGAACGTGAAATAAACGGTTTCTTTGTTACCACATTTAAAACGCTAAAATATGCAACTCCGCAGAAGTTCCGCACCGCGACTCGAATGCGACCGGTGGTGTTTGATGTATTGTTCAATTTGCTTAAAGAGCAATTACAAAAACATTCTATACGACCCTCCATTCCAGCGGAGTGTAGATTGTTCTTAACGCTCATGTAAGTAGTGATATTTTAGCTCTAATATGTATTGAAATGAATATTTATATTTTAGATATCTAGCTCATGGACCAAGAAGACAGTACTTGTCATTGTCCTTTAAAATGTCTGTTGAGACGGTTAGAAGAATAGTTTTAGAAACGAGCGAAATCATTTGGAGCGTAATCATTTGGAATACCCTTTCCCCGTTTAATGTATCCCTTCCAAACGTCACAGAATGGGAAATGATAGCGGCAGATTTTAAGTATATGTGGGATCTTCCCAACTGTGTTGGAGCCATAGATCAGATTGTCCAGATTTGGCGATTTCGCACCAATTTGGCGATTTTTTTTTTGGATATTTGCGCGTAAGAATTTATGAAATCGCCAGTAGCGATTTTTGGCGATTTTTTCCCTTCAAATAAATTCTTTCCAATTATAAAAATATACAAAACTTAGTTTTCCACGATAATTTTACAGAAGAGGCTAATGAACTGCGTGATAAACTTAACTTAAGAAGCTAAAATGCTGTCAAAAATGTTTAATCACCCTAATCGCAGAACTTTTGAAACGATTACCTAGTCAATTAAATACTTTCAAAAAGCTTTGATTTTGTCACCAGAAAGGTGTATGAATCACAAGAGCGCCGAACTCTTAAAAGCGGATCGTGCGATTAATCAATTTTAATAATTGCGCAGTCCTATTGCAAAATGTGTTGAAACAAATATTTTTAAAAAGTATGCGTATTTGTAAAGAAAATTGTTTGTACATCACTATTATATAAGCGATTTGTGTTATTTATTATTACCTTCTGAAGGTATTATATTCGTTTTTGGTTTTAAAAACAATATGATAAAAAGATCTAATTTTTAAAATAAAATATTTGTTAAATCGATTTCATGAATTTTATAAAAAAATGGCGATTTTTGGCGATTTTTTTTTGCAGAAATTGCGCTTTATTTTTAAACAATCTGGACACCCTGCCGTAGATGGCATGCCATAGATGGCAAGCATATACCCATCACATGTCCGGCACATTCCGGCTCAAATTTCTACAACTGTAAAGGTTTCTGACAATTAGTTTAAAAGATGCATACAAACATATTACTTCAGCAAAATGGGCTCAACTATATTTTCAACGTTGACTGCCCAGTGATTATACTAGATAACATACAAGTTTATTGTTGAACCTATCATGCTTGAGTAGACCCTTCAAGTTATTTAATAAAATCCCTTGTTACTTATTACAGGAGTATACAGCATTGTTCTGCTTGGCGCTTGCGATGCCAACTATGTATTTACCGCCGTAGATGTTGGTGCTTATGGAAGTCAAAGCGACGGTGGAGTTTTGAGCCATTCTTACTTTGGCCAAAGAATGTACCGCAACCTCCTTGGTCTACCTTCATGCAGCGTTTTTGCTGCATTTAAAATGCAGCATTTAGCACTTTCGAACATATATTTTCGAAGAGCGTTCATGCTATCGCATTTAGCAAATGTACATTTACGCGAGTTCGAAATCGTATGCTTTTGACAAACAGCCGTGTTCCAGTCGCTTATTCAGATCCGTATCTATTACGATAAATTCTCACGGAAAAGATAATGTCCAAAAATCCCTACTGAAAAGGAAAAAATAAGTTCTAAACCGAAAATTCAATACAAAAACTTGAATTGTTTTAACCATAACCAAACATTTGTTTGTGTATATATTCATTTGTCGGTGCTGTCAATTATAATTTCCACACTTAATTAGGAAACAAAACAAACAGAGTTGATCACAAATTAATCCAGATTTCTATCAGCATCATATCGATGTTTAATTTGCGTAACTTTTCTTTATCCAAATAATGTAAAATAATAAATGAAATATCGATCGGCGATCACTGAAACGCAGCTAGCGACTGTATACTCGAAAAAGCAATGTTGCCACTTCTTCTCATTAAACCATGTTCGAATCGTGGAAATTTTGGAAGATCACAGGGTTGCTTTTAGCATTTAGATTCTAAATGCAAAGATTGAGTTGCATTTAGTTGCATTTAGATGACGAATTTTGTATGGATAAATGTACATTTAGAGTAGCATTTAGAGCTAAATGCGCTAAATGTACATTTACGCGTAAGCAAAAACAGGCCATCAGACAAAATATTGCGAAACAGCGATATTGAATTACCGCATTATTTTGTAGGAGACGCGACTTTCTCTTTAAATCCTTGCTTAATGAAGCCGTTTCCAGGAGTTCTTTTAGAAGAGCCCAGAGAATATTTCAACAAACGCCTATCAAGGGTCCGTTGGACGATTGAAAATACGTTTGGTATATTGACTGCCAGATGGCGCATACTACGAGGGACTTTAAATATGACACCTGAGTCCGCTGTAAAAGTAGTAAATGCTACAATCCTCCTGAATAACTTTCTAAAAATGACAGATACCTCATATTGTCCACCCGACTTTGTGGATCACGAAAAAAGTGGTCAAATTGTGGAAGGCCTGTGGCGAAAAAAAACTGTTCCTTTAAGGAGTGTTAGACAAATTGCTTCAAACAACGTAGCCCGTTCAGCATATCAACTTCGGGACCAACTCAAAGATTATATCTTTGCAAATAAAATATAATACAATTTTTAATTTAACTGAGCTTCTATTATTTGCACTAAATGCGAAAACATTCCTTAATTTTTTTCTGTATTTATTAAACTTATCAGAAAGAATATGCATAGTTTTTAACAAAGAAGTTTTAATTTTTAAGTTAAGTAACATTAACCAAGTAATCATTACATAGTTTTTACTTCTCGTAAGTACAAGGATATGGGACACAACTCTACTCCCTGCAAAAAATTGTGCGACTAATCTCTAAAGAGAGTATTCCGGGATGAGTCTCAATCGGGTACAATTGGGCATTAATTAGTCGCAACTAGGCTCATACGGGTACTAATGGAGATCAATTAGTCTCGACTCATCCCTTGCGGGTACCATTGTATGCAGTATACAAAACTTCAAAATTTTTACAAAAAGTTTCTTTTTTTAAAAGAATTTATGACCAACTGAAAGGTAAT